CTCGGCGCCTGCCCCAGGACCGACCCGCCGGACGGAGCGCGCGGCGGGAACCGGCTCCGTCTTTGTCCCGGTGGGGAGAAAGGCCCGCGCTGACCGCCGCGCACGCCCGTGATGCGCAGCGCTGCCCTGAGGGCACCGGTGCCCGGACACAAATGGGAGCAGCCAACGTCCCTGGAGCTGGCATTTCTGCCCCCTTTCAGCCTGGTCTGCGCCATTACATTAGTATAAAAAGAGATAAACCAAACCTCCAGTTGTTCTAATAGACCTACCAAGGAAAAGGATAGGTTAATGTTTTGAACACCCGGAGGAAAAACTCGTGTTCTGAAAGAGAACTGTGTGATCTGTATGGCAAATACCGGCTACAGGACGTCGGTGCAGTGCAGTGAGTGGCAGGGCAGCCGGTGGCTCCAGATACGTTTCCACAGGGTCCTGCTTAGTCCTGTGCTCTCTTAGTGCTCTTCTGTAGGCACCTCGGGTTGTTGAGAAGGTGATTCTTGGCTTTTTCCAAAGGAAAGGATAAGATTAAGTCTTCATACACTTAAGGAAAAACTTCTGCCGTTGAAGAAAAATCTGTAAGGTAATGTCAGGAATAAGCACATCATTACAGGAAAAATGCTAGGTGATTGTACTATCACAGAAACATTCTGTTAAGTTCTGGATTGTAATAGCATCATTTCATGGAGACAGGACTGATGGTTTCAGACAAAGTTCCAGTCACGGTCTGTGTGAGACTAAGATGTCTCACACTTTCTCAAATCAGACATGGAGAGAGCTGTGGTCTGTGGCCATTAACTTGAACACAATTATGTCTTCTTTTAAAATATGGACGTTGATTTAATCAATAAGTCTTCTTTTTCCAAAGCAACATCAGACCAAATTCAAACTCCATCAGATGCCTTTGGATTTTGGTTAATAAACTGGAAGCCCCTTAAATGTCAGAGAACAGTTCAAGCAGCTGAGTGCCAAATAGCATCTTAACTCTGAAGTACAGCAGAAGTCACTTGAAACCTTTGTGTCAGGCAAACAAACACAAGTCATTCTGTATGTCCAGAGGTTCTTCCACCTTGAGTTTAGCTACATCCTGAGCTCTGCTGTGTTTTAGACACACAGTCAACAAGGTATAATCTCCATCAGCCATGAAGCTGCATTCAGCCTAAAAAAAGGTCACTTGGGTAAAATTGTAAAGCTCATGGGTAACAAAGTGCAAGGAACACAGCTGTCAGCTCTAGCTCTGCACAACAGCCTACTGATTGTTGTACTTGCCTGAGAAGTATCAAATTTAAAGAATTAACATTCTCCACCTCCCAGGAGATGTAGGAATCAGGCTCAAAGGTGATCTTATATTCTCACTGATGGCACTGTGCTACAAATACTGAAATAGTAGCATTATAGCGATTTAACTTTGCACCTTGGACATTTACTGTGAATATTGGTAGTCATGTCACCAATATAATTTTACTCAGTGATCAAAAAGTAAGAAAGGAAAAGTCAACTGGCAAATCATAAACCGGCAATGGAAATCCAGAATCTTTTCATTATATTTGGGCTTCTGTGTTCAGCCACTTTCGACAGAATTTTCTTCCTCCTTCCAATCCAATGAAAGTTTCTCTTTTTGCAGCTTATGGCCTATATTGTGCTTGCATGGCAAGATTTTGGTAGTGATTGGCCTGTAAGAGTGGCTTGTCTGAGAAGCTTCTGGAAGTTTCCCTTATTTCACAGAGCTAATGCCAGCCAGCTCCAGGATGGGCTCACCACTGGCCAAGGCTGAGTCAGTCAATGATGGTAGTAAAACCTCTGTGATAACATGTTTAATTAAAAAAAAAAGTTTGCCGCTAAAGGACACCAAATTATTCACACGAATATTTCTGTGTTTGAACAGGAAAGAAGAAACTTTTTTCTTTGACTTCAGCATTTATAGATTCTCAACAATGACCAGGGATTGGATAATTAAGTTACCACCTTCCTAAGCACACTGGTCATGCAAAACATCCATCAAAAGACGTTTTGTAGAAGGAATGTGATAAACAACTTACGTTTATAGAACTTTCATGGGAAAGCATCTAAAACTATGAAAACATTATCAGGAGGCTTTAGTTTTCAGGGCGACAAAAGTTAGTGCACAGAAGTAATTGTGGCCAGAGACAGAGGAGTGAGAATATGTGAGAGAAACTGTCCTGGAGATATCAAAATCAGTAAAGGGAGATGGGGAGAGAGGAGGTGCTCCAGGTACCAGAACTGGGATTCCCTTGCAGGCCATGGTGAGGCAGCTGTGACCCTGCAGCCCATGGAGGATCACAGGGGAGCAGAGATCCACCTGCAGTCCCTGGAGGACCCCACAGCAGAGCAGGTGGATGCCCAAAAGAGGCTGTGACCCTGTGGGAAGCTCACCCTAGAGCATGTTCCTGCCAGGACCTGTAGGTGCATGGAGAGAAGAGCCCATGCTAGATCAGGTTTGCTGGCAGCGCTTGTAATCCCATGGGGGATACATGCTGGAACAGTTTGTTCCTGTTGTAAAAAAAGGACCCACACTGAAACAGTTCATGGAGAACTGTGGCCTGTGGGAAGGATTTCTCTCCCTGAGAAGGAAGCAGCAGCAGAAGTAATGTGATGAAGTGACCATAATGATAACCACCTGGCCCCATACACCACTGCTGGGGAGGAGGTAAAGATACGGGAACAAAGTTAATCCCTGGAAGGAGGGAGAAAAAAAAGTGGGGAAAATGTGTTTTTAAAATTTGCTTTTAAAATACGTTTTAGTTCTCATTATCATACTTAGATTTAGACTTTTGTTGATTTCTCCAAGCTGGGTTTGTCTTGCCTGTGACAGTGACAGATCTCTCCCCATCTTTAACTCATGAGATTTCATTCTATTTTCCCTCCCCTGTCCAGTTGAGCAGGGAAGGGATAGAGCAGCTCTGGAGGGCAACCGGAATCCAGACAATGTCAATGGCCATTCTTTCTTGTCCTTTTCCTATTCATCTCAAAAAAAGTGAGAAGTTCCTCCTTCTTAATAACTCCCCATTCAGTGAAGCATTTGGATTATGTCATCTCAGTGTTCCCTTCTGAGATCCTTAGCCTCCCCCTCTGTCACATGCCCCTGGAAACATGTTGGTTACCTTCTTCTGGATATTTTCTATCTTCTAAGTATTCCTTGCATACCTAGGAACCCATATTGGACACAGTGTTGCAGACGGGGCCTCGCAAATGGCAAGTAAATAATAATCGTCTGCCTTCACCCCCTGTGATGCTGATGTGGCACAGTATAGGTGTTAGTCTTAATTTCCCCAGAGTTGCAGTCTTGACCCTCGTTTCACTTTTTAACCGGGACCCGCAGGTTTTTTTTGCAAAGCCACTATCTCATTAGTCAGTCCTCAACCTCTACCATTGTTAGGGGGCTTTTGCCCTGGGTGCAAGGCTTTGTCCTGCCAGGACATTCTCCAGCTTGTTCAAAGTGTCCTCTGGTATGTCAGACACCCCCTGGTTTCAGCCACTCATCTCATCATAAAAGACCATGGCATGGGCTATACAAAATGTGCCTTTCTGCCTTCCCCCTCTCCAATTTTAGAAATTCCAACTAAGGTTAAGTTCTCTAGTGCTGTATTTTTTGGGAGGTGGAAATGCATATTTTTGGAAGATGGCCAAACAACTGAAATCTTATTCTATTTTAAATGCATTTTCATCACTTTTGTGTTCCAAACTTAAGGAAGCCCTTAAATGGGCATTGTTGCATGCATGTGTAAATCCTGGTAATTTAGCTAACCTTGTAATGTGTGAGTGGAAGACCCTAATCTATATATTGCTCTTTAACTCCTCATGTAGTTTGCAATGTAACTAATTAGTAACATGGGCAAACGACCACACCCAAATTTTGGCCAGTCAGCCAGTCACGTGCAAAGCGTTTCTGGGACTGATAAATGCTGCCAGCACAGATCAGGCAGTTCCACCTGACCTAGCAGGAGGTGCCTTCAGGAGGGTACTTGCAGAGTGGAGTCCTTTCAGCCAGAAGCTGGCCATTGAATAAGAGAAATTTGGATCAGGGTAGCAAAGACTCCAATAAAACTCACTTCATAATACACTGCTGCAATTGTTCATCCAAGAGGTTAAACTGGAATTTAGATCCAATTTGAGTTTCATTGTGTAAAAAAAGAACAAGTATATGATGTTGGCTGACTTCAAAAGATAGAATATTCCTCTGTAAAATATGAGCAATAATTGAAATTTATAATAACTTTCTTTTTGTCTTATGTAGATATGATTCAATGAAAATGAAAAAAGATTTTTAGAACAATATATAATTCTTCATACAATCCATAATTAGCTTGTATCCAGGGAACATGGAAATTCACAGTGAAACCAGATACAGTGTAAAATGTACAAGATGCATTTGCATATAACAAAGGTAAGGATGAAAATACTTTTGATCCATTTCATGTAAATTCTAGGCAAAAAATATATTATTAGGGGTGGGGATTTGAGTTCAGCTTTCATTCTCTGGCTAATGTTTTCAATATAACTTGCAGAGTTTGAAGCAGAATCCTTATTTATTCATTGTCTTCTAGATTATGAGGAGCTGGTGAGAAGTTTTGAACTAAGGCTTCTGTTGCAACTTGATGATCAAATTATTTTTTGTTTCTTGATTGTGAGTATGGCTTTGAAATACGCAAAATTAAGGACAATTTCTCTTAGTTACTGGATTGTGCTTCCAAAATACATGAAGTATTCTAGCAAGGGAGTTACATTTTTGGTTGAGGATATTGAAGTGTTATCTCAGACAGTTCTGATAGTAGGTTTAGTATCCACTGAGGTTTTGTCTTGCCAAAGGGCTGGTAGTAACACCTGCTGAGATGCCTTGCCATCTGTTTGTACATCTAAAAGCTGTAAGATTTGATTACTAAATGTTTCCTCACATGCTATGACCACTAACATTTTTTTTTCTGTATTTGGGATGCGTTCTGGATGAAGCACCTGGCTTCACTGTCATTTTTCCCAGGAGAAAATAATTGTGAGCTGGAGTGAATTCATGTTGTGATGCTGCATTGAACAGAGTTCATTTTTGCAGAGGTGAAGGTAAAGTTGCATTAACCCTGAGGGATCTCACGTATAATATATGTTAATCAAGAAGTATCTCAAATCATAGTCATAAAGCATTTCACTGCAAATACAGATAGTCCAGCATTCCTTAATGTATCGCTCTTAGTCTATTTACTGATTTGATGTGGATTCATATAATGTCCTTGCTGAAAGCATCTCATGAAAACTGTATATTCAGAAACTCAATATTAAACAAATTTTAGACATAGAATCCTGAGAGAAATTCAGACTCCTTCAAGGGCAGAGAAACTCTGCAGAGAGACCTCAGCAAACTAGAGAGATAGACACTCACCAACTGTATAAAGTTTAACAAGCACAAGTGCTAGAATCTGCACCTGAGACAGGGCAATTCTAGTTGTGTGCATGGGCTGGGGAACAGGAGGCTGGAGAGCACCACCAAAGAAAGGGACCTGGGGGTCCTGGTTGATGCAAATTGGATGAGTCAACAGTGCCCTGGCAGCCAGTAGGGCCAGCTGTGTCCTGGGGAGCATCAGGCACAGCATCGCCAGCTGGGCAAGGGAAGGGATTGTCCCGCTCTGCTCTGCACTGGAGCAGCCTCACCTCGAGTGCTGTGTGCAGCTTTGGGCACCACATTTTAAAAAAGGTTCTGAGTTACCAGAGAGCATCCAAAGAGGGGCCACGAGGATGTTGAAGGTTCTGAGACAGAAGCCAGATGAGGAGCTGCTGAGATCTCTTGATCTGTTCAGCCTGGAGGAGACTGAGGGGAGTCCTCACTGTGGTGTTCAACAACCTCACAAGGGGAAGTGGAGCAACAGACATTGATCTCTTCACTCTTGTAAGCACTGAACAGGACTTGAGAGAATGGCATGAAGCTGAGTTGGCGAAGATTTAGGTTGGATATCAGGAAAGATTTTCACCAAGAAGGTGGACAGGCACTGGAGCAGGCTTCCTAGGGAAATGGTCATAGCACCAAGACTGACAGAGCTGAAGAAGTGTTTTGCCAACACTCTCAGGGAGATGGTGTGATTCTTGGGATGTTCTATGAAGACACAGGATTTAGGCTCAATTGACCTGATAGGTCCCTTCCAACTCAGCATATTCTATGATTTGGGCACATTAAGACTCCTTTGTTAGCATCCCTGATCATGATGGCCAGATGGATAGAACACTTGCCAAGGAAGTAGAATACCTTGATTTCAAAATCCTTAATCACAACTTAGAGACCCCTTTTAAGCACAAAGCACAGTTAAATTCAATTCACACAAGGAATTCAAGAGCCTGGGGACTGTAGATAAATTTAAAAAGACAGCCTGATTCTATTGAGAGTGAGCTTAACTTGAGGAAGGGGAAAAACCATATTGAATTCTGGTTGCAATTCCCAGTATTGTTTATTTCTATCCTAAGATGCATTAATGGGAAATGAATAAACTAGTCTTTAGAGCACAGATACATTAACTTTCAGATAAAGGTGAGATCACTCAGACAATTCTATGTTGTTTTTTTCCTGTATCAGTCACATCAAAAAAGTACATTAAAAGTTTTCTATGTACTACAAATGAAATTATGTGAGCTGGTTATCATGATATGATTTTATAATCCAATGCAACTTGTTTACAGAATTTAAACTGTACATACTTACATGCCGCATGTTTGTGGTGAAATCTTAAAATTAAATTCAGTTATATTTGCATCAAATCCACATTTGCATAATTGCAATGTTTACACTATTCTTATACCTTAGCCTTGACAGTATCTTACAGAAAATCCCTGGGCTAGAATAATTCTGAATCTTAGTCAATGTGTATTCCAATCTAACAAGGAGCTGCATCTTCATGCTCTGTTCCCCAATTAACATAAAGCTTCATTACCCTTTTGGGATAAAAAAAAACCTGCTATGTGCATTGTCTTACCCATAATTCATTTGTTTATAAAGTTATTAAAACTCATAATTAATTAGACTTCTCATGAGGTATAATTCCCTTCTGGACTTTCTGGTGCATGACTATAAAGTTTAGCAAGGGGAACAATTTGCATTGCATCTCTCCCCTGGAGGTCCTTGTCATCATTTGATCATGGATTCAACCTATTCTGTTGTTTTCCCTTTACACCCTTCAGCTTTGATTCCTGGTTGCACAGTGACACAGCTTCACACAGAGGCAGGAAAAATTTTCTGGCCTAAAAGTATTTAGCTTTTGATTACAGCAGTTCTGTGGAAAGTATGAGCTGGTGGTTCAGTCATCGGCAAGGCTGCTTGCAGGCTGGAATCCAGCCTACCCATTTCAGTGCTGCACCTTCTGACAGCAGGTTCTGGCAGGAGAGTTAGAGAGCATACGGAGCAAATCCTCTTTCTGAGAAAAGTCTGTGCATCTGGAAACAACTGAGGTGACAAGAAGTGACCATTGTAATGTCCCAGGAAGACATTCTGCATCATCAGATCTGTGCAGTCAGTAACCCTGTCCTACAAAGGAAGAAAAGGTCTAATTGAATTAATATAGTTTGGGTGTGTTAAGTGGGATTTGGACATATGCTGTTGGCTACTCAGCTTCAACTAGCCAAGAAGTTCAAGTATTCTTCTTTCCTCCTCACAGATCACTAACGAGTACTGCATGACTTGCCACTTTAAAATAATTTGTCTTGCATACCTTTTCTTAAGAAAGGCATCATTCTGTGTAAATATTCTCACCTTTTTGCTTATGTGCCTGGCTGGGTAAAAAAACAAAACCAAATATGCTTCTCACAGGACAGATATTTTACTTAACAAAAGAAAGAATCTAGTAAAATATATTAGGAAAAATGAAAGATTTGCTTACAGTATTATATAATGAATTTGCATCTTCTTACCGCATTCGGTTTTCTTCCAGTCCAGTGATTTTTTCCTGTACACTCTTCCTGTAGAGTGAACATAAAGTTAATTTAATTCATGTTCTCATCCCTGATTAATCTGATTAATACAAAACATATACAGATATGCCACAAAATGAGCTTCATGCTTTCAGAAATCGTTTAATTGAGGCATATATATTCTAAGGCTTTGTGATGTGCACTAGGAAATGGAAGATAATGCATCTGGATAAGCAAATTGGGGCCAAATGCAGACCTGGTCTAGCGTGCTGATTCACAAGATGATCATGTTCTCTACCAATTAATGTATTTAAAACCTATTCCTAATTATGAATCTAGTGAAGTTTCAAATAAAGTGTTGCCTGCTGTCTGTTTCTTATGTAGGTGGAGGCAAAGAATCTAGACTGTTGAAGAGAGAGGCGTAAAGAGAAGATGTAAGAATTTTTAAGTCTTTCAGAGGAAAATAAAAAGGACCATGTTCCTAAACTTATCTCAAAATATGCTGGTGAGGGGAAAGTCTTGCAGAAATGTGGACATGCACTTCCGTTTCTCTATGTGTACATATGTGGTGTATGTCTGCACACAGTTGTGTGGATATAGCATGAGGAGGGATGGGAAGCTGTAGAGTGAGAGAGGTGAGTGAGAGAAATATTTTTGGAGGGAGGCCTAGACAAGGAAAGGGAGAATGACAGATTCATGAGAAGAGGGGAGAAAGAAGGCACAGGAAAGATTCAGAATGAAAGGATGCAGTAAGGTGCAGTAGCTTAAAATTAATGCAGACAAGACTGACAGGAAGAAGTGTATCAGAAAAGGGGAGGAAGAAGGAAAGAACAAGCAGTAGAATTCATTAAGCCAGGTTTCCTGGGGTTCTGTGACTTGCAATGAGGCTATCTCCTGTTTGCTGACCGTTTTCTTTGGTTTTGTAGTAAAAAGCAAGGAAGCGTAAACATAAACATCCGAGTCCTGAGTGTAATCAGAGCAAAAGTGCATAGAAAATCCAGAAATAACAACATTTCTATTCGAAAGGATGTCACTATTTTTGTAAGCTCTTTTATATATGTGTCTATATGTAAATCAAGTCGTGTATTGCAGGGCAATAGGAACATTTCAAATTTTGAAATATTATGATTCCAGAAGCAAATTTGCAAGATACTACTCAACATTGAGGAACATATGCCAATAGAAATTACTCTTTTATATAAAGAAGGACTACAGATGATGAATCACAGAATGAAATACGAGAAAAATGAAAGGTTCATGACCTAAGGAAAACTGGTGATAGGCATCTAATGAACTAGTCTACGTTGTCTAAGACAGAGAATATCCATATAAATGAATTGTGGTACAGCTCTGCCCTCAGTGGGAGACTGATTGGGTTTCTACACTCTGCCTGGCTCCACTCAGCTTGTGGGAATATTGTAACACTGAGACCTTGAGCACTGTCAAAATCAGTTGAAATTTTCAAGAAGGTTCCAAAGCTTATTGCAAGTTACACTGACAGAATGTGCAACAGAGTAAATTTTGCTTCCTTAGGAAGGGAGGCAAAACCTGTAGAAAAGCAAAAAGAGATAGACAACCTGTTGATTTCCACTACATTAAAGCTAAATGCAGTTTACTTTTGCTCTGCAAATTAGATTTGTTTCTTTGATGGCAGAACATGACATGCCTAATTTGGAGTGTAAGTCCAAAATAAAGGACACATTCATCAAAATAAAGTCAGTGACAATAACCTAAAGGTACAAATGGGAAGTCCAATGCACAATACAATTAACTAAAGGTACAAATTGGGAGATATAAAGCACAACACGATTCTGGGTAAAAGAAAATGTGCAGCAAATGTGACAGACAAGATTGTGACACAAGGCTGCTCCTATTTCAGTGTTAAAAATCCACAAATGTGTAAGAAAGATATGCACTAAAGGATCAGGAATCAGAAAATTAATAAGTGATTACATGAATAGTATTCAGTATATTATTCAGTATATTCTAATAAATACTATTCAGCAATAAAAGAGAGCAGTTATATCTGTGTCAATATATTTCAGCAACCTCCATTCAAGTTGAATATGGATGGCAATGACAAATAGTCCCAAGGAATCAAACCTCAAACAGAGAATCAATCCCTGTAATGAGCAGGACTGATCTGCTCTGATGCTGACCTACTGGGTTTCTCTTCCACATTTTGACAGTACTTGAGTGAATGAATTTTTTGCTAATGAAACTGAACTGGACTGAGGTTGGCAGAAGATATTTTGGCACAAGATATTTTGTCAATCATGGCTCTTGTTAAAACTTCTTATCCCACAACTTCTACTAATTGTATTTTTTAATGTGTTAGAGAAAAAGTTGGTGAGCAGATTATCATTTTTCATTCATCAGCTTGGCAAGATTTCTGTTATTTCCTTCAAGCTAACTTAGTATGTGATATTTAATTGGCTACTTAAATATTGTCCAAGCACCATTCCAGCTGCCTCTCAGGTGAATTATGTCATTTACTATGCTTATAACGTGTCTCCTTAAACTACTGCAGAGTTAGTAATCACATAGTATTAAGCAGTATAGAATGGTTCTGAAAACCATGTGAATTTGGTCTTATCACTAGTCCAGTAAACTTTTTTGTCTTACAGTTTTTACTGTCTCATAGACTATGTAGCACAGACTTCATCCTAGAGAGCTAGTGAGTTCAGTGCATTATGTGCAAAGAAATTAGCTACAGCCCATAGAGGATTGTGGTAGCCCTGGGCCATTGCACAGCAAACTAATAGTTGGATTCTGTTAATTCATTATTGGTGTTAACGCATTCTGTTTTATAAGATCTAAGCATTTGGATAGGATGAACTCACTATTTATATTTTTAAGGAGAGGAAAAAGGTAAGAGGAGAATTTAACAAACCTGACAGTTTACCTTTGGTTCCCCCCAGATAATGAAGCCAGTAGTGAAAGACACTATTATTAAGCATTTAGAGGATAATGGGGATATGTAAAAGGTACTTATACCTGCCAAGCAGTAGCCATAACAGGTCACCTAATTTCCTTCTTAATGAGTAATAGGCCTCAAGAAACAGAGAAGTGGAATCCAGCAGGATTTCAGGAAGGTTTTTTATGTTTCCTTATGTGACATTTCCATTCACAGGCAAGCTAATGTGATTAGAAAACCATGTGCAAGGAGAATTTATCAATAGTTTGCTATCAAACTAGAAAAGCGTTTTAAGACCCTGTCTTGGTTGAATACCATTAAATATGTTTATTCATAACTGGTTATGTTTGTTTAATTTATAGATGATTTCAAGTTGAAGGATCTGCACGCTTGCAGAAAGCCAGCATGAGAACTGAAAATTATTCTGATTAATTCAAAGAGCAGTCCACAAAAGGAACCACAGAATAACAGAATGCGTCATGTTGGCATGGAATGCAGTGGTTCCTCTGGTCCAACCTCCCTGGTCAAGCAGCTCATTCCAGAATGGCACAGGATTGTGTCCAGACAGTTCTTGAATATATACAGTGAGGGAGACTCCACAGCCTCTGTGGGCAACCTGTTCCAGTTGTCAATCACCCACGCAGTAGATAAGTTGTTCCTCATGTTCTGGTGGACTTTACTATGCATCAGGTTTTGCCTTTTGCCTATTTTATTGCTTGGCGCCATTGAGAAGAACCTGGCTCTATCCTCTTGACACAAGGCATATTTCAATTTTGGAAATATGAAATTCTGCTCTAGTCAAGAATGGATACTGTGTGGGTGGAGGGAAGCATTAGTAATTAAAAAATAATGCTGAGGAATTAGATAAGGATGCTACAGAGTATATGTGTACATGAACCTCTGTGAATTACATTCCCAAAGAGAAGTACAGTATTAGTGCCACAGTCTATCATATTACCAGAATGGTAACAATTACCACAAACTGATGAAGAAATTAGTGAGGTCAAAAATTATAATAATGACAGTCTTCAATTTTCTGCTATCATGCTGTTAAGATTTCCAGCATTCAGGAGTGAATAGCCTATCTTGAGATTGTAAAGGCTATAGGGAAAATGAGACAAGACTTCTTCAACAGTAACATTCTAATTTTTAGAGGAAAAAAAAATTGAAAGAATAAGTTTAAAAAAGTTTACATTGGATTGGAGACTACAAAAATATCATGCAATACGCCAAATGTCAATAAATACCCTCTACTTGGGTGACATTGAGAGCATTAAAAGCATTTAAAACCAAAATAACATTGCTGTGATTCCACCACAAAGACAGATGCTAGAATACAGAATAACTTCTAAAAAAATGTATTCATGTCCAAAAGAGGGGGAAAAAAACAAGATGAAGAATCTCTATAATGCTAAAGGTATAATCACAGAAAAGTCCAAAAATACTATTATGAAGCCCTAGATAAATGTTCACAGACATCTTAATCACAATGGAAAGAAGCAGCTGACCAGACCATTAGTGCAACAGACCTGTAATCACAAGCAGCACTCAACACAAACATAAATAATATCAGAAAAAGCTAAACTAATTCTTTGCATCAGTTTTCACTGAAGAGAAGGTCACATCAATTCTCAGCACCACTCTTTATGAGTGATTGATTTGAGGAACTATCTCAATTCAAATATTAACAAAAATCAGCCTCTTAGGACCAATGGTCTAGACAATTAAAAAATGTTACACCGAGCTTATAACAGGCTGCAAGAGAAATTCTAGATACTGCTGATTCATAAATCAGTTTTCTTTCTATTTAATTAAATATTATACAAGTAAATATGTAGATAAATGCAATGTACTGACAGACAACCAGCAGAAATTCTGTTTAGGAGTCATGCTTTACCATCTGTTTGAGATCTCTGAAGGAAATAAAATACCTGTCTAAAATATCTATTAAATATTTTTTTCATAGATATTCTTATAATAATAATTTAAGGTGCCAAAATAACTTACAGTGTTATAAATAAGATATAAAAATAATAATAATAAGGTTAAATAATCAGATTTTAAAGTGAGAAGAAACTATGAGAGGACATCCCCCAAAGAATCTGAGGTAGAATATTTTATGTGTAAAATAGTCATAACCATATGGAAAAGGAGGGAATTGTGAAAGAACAAAATTTTCAGGTGATATATTATGCATGCTAGACAAACATAAAACTGACTGCAAAGAAATCCACAGAGATCTCAAAATACTGGACGTCTGTTCAGTAAAAACAACCAAATAAAATTGTGACAAGTATAATAACATTCACATGAGGTAAAAATACTATAATTATAAATATATAACAGCTGTCTCAAAGTGTGGCATCTATTGTCTTTCAGACAGAGATCTGAAACCACTGGAGGTGGGGAAAAAACAATGAAGAGAATGTTAGAAATTACTAGGTACAGGGAGAACAAAACAGAAAATCCCATTTATCACTGTCAACTCATCCTGGTCCTCCTTTTGAATACTTCATACATAATAAGGTGTTCTGAAAAGAGGTGTTAGAGAATTTTTTTAAAATCCTACAAAAGAGGGACAGTCACTGAGAAGAGCAGCAGCTTCTGTAAAGGGGCAAGAAAAAGACTTTCCATGCTTGGAGAAGATAGGGAGGTGATATAGAGCTATAAAATTGCAAATGGTTTGAATAAGATGAATAAGGAGTGTTTATTAATTTTTTTAAGCTCACAAAAACTATCAAGCCCTTAAGGAAATTATCAGGGAGCAATGTAAACATTACAAAATCTTAATAATTACAGGTAAACTGTGGGTCTCATTGTCACAAAATACTTTGGAAATTAAAAGATCAAATGAGTTCCAGAAGTGATGGATTGATGGATAAATGGATGCTGAAATGTCCATTTGTAGCTCTAAAATATTATGGCCTTCAGTGCAGGAAGCTCTTTGACTGAGAAGACATAACAGGTAGGATCAATGTTATGCTTTTCTTGGCAGTTTTGCATTCTGGCTTCAGCTTTGAATGTGGTTCTGGGTTGCACTGCCTTTCAGACAAGCACAAAAGGCCACAGGTTCTTATGAAATGCTTGTGACATTCTACACAGAAGAAAAGGTTCTTGCACATACAGTATATGCCAAGCAGAGAAAGTGTCAGAAATGTCAGAGAGAAAATGCAAAGTATCAAATGGTGAAGTAAAGACATGGATTTGACAGAATATTTCTCTTCAGTTCAACTCTGGTAAATCACTAGCTGGAAAACTGGCCAGGTTTTGGCATTGTGTTTCAAATTATCCAGAAAAAAAATAATCTATAAGCATAAAAATAGTTCAAGGAATATGACTTATAAGAAACATGAAAAGCACTGTAGATCTTTAATGTATACTGAAGACTTTCAATATGTATTAGGTAGAGTCAAAGAAGGAAGAAAAATTGTTTACTAGGTCATAAAAATAAAGCATGAAATGTAGAAAGCTGTTGCAAAGAAGATTTGAGCTAGACCACAGAGAGGATTTTTTAACAGGAAGATCCCAGATACTGATGTAGATTGCCTAAGGAAGTGTAGAATCTATCATCTTTGGGTTTTTAGACGTTGTTTAGACCCATATCTTTACAGTTTGAGTGCAGTAAGTGGGCTATATGTGTTTTATGTTCATTAGGGTGCTATTTTTTTCTGACATTTGAGGAATGGCTTGTCTGAAATGTGTGTGATCAATTCATATTATTTTGACTGCATGCTGGCATGCAGCTATTCATGCTGTCTTTGTGTATATTTATTTTCTTTCTCGCTCCATCTCTAATCATCTATAATTTTATTTACATGCTCAGCAACTGTTTCTCACAGTCAAATTCCTCTCCATTGGCTTGACACTCACTGTTTAGTGTTATTCCCTATGTTTTGTCACATTCTCCTAGCTCATTTTTCAAACAGTCTGTGGTAATTTGTTCTCATTTTTATAAAGACAATTTCAAATTTCTTTTCACTTATTTATTTTTAAAAGCCTGATATGTAACAATTGAGCATGTTATACTAAGATCAATACCATCCCTTGATACAATGCATTCTCTCAGCAAATATTTATTCCTGTGGTAAAAAAGCTTCGGTCAAGTTGCCCAGATATTTTTCGACCCTGCTCTCTTGTGGCATGCTACTTCCACAGGGCTATGTTCTTCTCTGCCTGGGGCTGAGCCAGCCTATGCAGGCAGAGCCTGGGCAGGCAAGGAGGTCCTGAACAGGCACCAGATTTCTTCTTCCAGAAAGTTTTAAAACCTGTGTCCACACATAACTAAATGCTTGCTTGCAAACAAAATACCTAATGGGTCTTGAGAACAGAGCAAGCTAGTATTCATGGTGTTCTGTGCCCACATCTGCACACTGGAACAGGTAGAAATTTTTGTGGATTATGGGCCACTAGAGCAGAGTACACAGGATGCTCCACGAGAGTCTACTTCCCATTACTTGTATCAGCAGATGTAAGAATACAGAAGTCCAGCAGCAGAAGCAAGCCCCATATATCATCTAAGGAGGAAATGCATCTCCTGCCTTCTTTCACAGAAGAAAACCTGAGATAACCTTTTAGAATCTTCAATATCCACTATTTCTTTTGGGTGCAAGGCCCTTGAAGGAGATGAGTTTTTAAAATCCCTGCTTTATGAAAATCTAGCTCTGAGAGACAAAAAAAAACCCCTACCTATATATATATATGTATATATACAAGTATAACAAGTATCCATTCACTCAGACCTGTCTGCAGAGTAAAGGCCTGAGTGAGTCATTTTTACAAACTGTCATTTAAACCAACAAGGTTATATTTTTGTGCAGAACTATTGCGTGAGTAACAGCTCTGTACCTGTTATATTCCAAAGTGTTTCTAAAGTCACATACCTTTTTCTTCATAATTGGACAAATCCAAATGGCTTGGGACAAACTTATCTCCCAGAAACAAAGGTAGGGAGACACATACTCTACTAGGTCGTTAAACTACAATAGGATTGTTCAGAGATCTGTGTCACTTCATCCTTCCCCTTAGAATAAATCCACATGCAAAAAATGAGAGGCAAATAGCTGTGAGGGATTGAGTGGACCAAGAGTAATCTGGTTAACTGCATCAGTATCAGAAATGAGCCATCAAACTTGAAACTTTTTATCATTCCACCTTGAAGAACACTATCACCAAACTCAATAATCAGAAGGACTTCTTTTGTAGTCATCCCTCTCATGTACATAATCCTTTGACATGCTTAATGTTCCTTGATTATATATGCTGTTTCTGCCTTTTGGTGATTGGCATAGATATTGTTGTGCCAGCAGAAGTTTAAAGTTTTTTGCAATTTGTTCCTTTGTTGCATACAGCTATGATCAAGGTCTTTGACTGTTGTCTCTTTGATTCTCTGAAGCTGGGTTTATTTAACCCTAATGTTTTCACCCCTTTTTTTAAAAAATGGCTTTCATTTAGAATTCTTGTAGATGTTCCATATGGTTTTATGGCACCACTTCCTTCCTTGGCTGCACTAGCCAGCCCTGTAATCACTGAAATACAATATTCTTAAAGAGCTGTCCCAAGCAGGCCTCTGATTCATTTCATATGTGCCCAGGAAAAGTGTAACTGTATATATATACTCCAAGACACTGCTTCATGTTGACTCTCAAAGGTAATAAAGATTTTTATTGTGTTTTCTCCTTGTTAGTCCTGAAAGTTTTTAACTACATTTGTTATTGTTTGATTTTAAGTGATTTTGAGACACTAGTAATATAAGTATCAGTCTTGGTGTTGCCTGATTCTGCTGTAGAATAGAGAGGATATAAAAAGGCATCGTACCTTCCCCTGAAGTCTGTATTTGTTATTGGATCTATGTAAATGGGGATTATTGAATAACAATATTAAAAGAGTAAGAGAAATAAATAGAAATAAAAATGCTCCTTTGCTTTGTGACTGTTTAACTTTTTCTCATTTACTAACATAATTCTACTTGCAAGTGTCTGTAGTTGAAACTAAGAAAATTTTCAGAAAATTTTTTTTAAGAGAAAGGAATACCTTTGGTTTTCTGCGCAGATCACAAAACTCTAAGTATGTATAGACAATAAAAGGGATTTCAGAAATTTGTTTTACAGTATAAAATAGCATTTCCCATACAGTAAAACAGGTAATGAAATTATCTTCCATCATTTCTATAACCTAAAATTATTGTACTCTTAAAAAAACTAGATTCTAAATATCATCTTCTAAAGCCCTGGTCTTAATTCTGCTAGAAGTACTACAGACTACTGCTGCAGATACTAAACATAAAAACTACATTACCAGAAAAGTGAAGTTGCAAAGCTTGTGTGTACCCAGTGCCTGTAATGCATGGAGCTCTTTTAACAACCAGTTCTCCAATAAGCTGTTTTTAGCTCCTTGTGCAGTGTAGTTTATACCCTATTTGTTGTATACAATTCAACTCCTGCTCTGAATTAACAATTTTCGTCCTTTCATATTAACATCAGTATAGGAGTTGAATACTTCCCAAACATTTATTTTCACAAATGAGATTAGAGATTACTACTCTCCTTCTTTTACCAACTATTAAACACATGGAGACATTAAGGTCAAAGGTATTAAATAATTTTCACTAGTCATTTTGAGACTCTCTTGATGTGAGTTTTCAGTGTAAGAAGCAGAATACTGACTTCATTAATTTTTAAGTGCATTTGT